ATTTCAATCAGGATTGCATTGAATCTGTATAACAGTTTTGGAAGTATGGCCATTTTCACTATATTGGTTCTTCCTACCCAGGAACAAGGGATGTCTTTCCATTTTCTTGTATCTGCTTTGATCTCCGATCTCTTTTTTTCAGAGTGCTGTAGTTCTCAATGTAGAGGTCTTTTGCTTCCTTTGTTAGATTGATTCCTAGGTGTTTCTTTTTTTTGGGTGCTATTGTAAAAGGAATTGTTTCCCTAAGTTCTTTCTCAGTGAGTCTGTTATTTATGTACAGAAGGCTATTGATTTTTAGAAGGATTTTTTAAATTACAAAAGTAATTGAAATATTACTTGTTAAACATTAAAACATTTTGGCAATGGTTAACTTAGAAAGTAAAAGTTCTGGGCCAGGGATTTAGCTCAGTGGATCAGCTCCTGTCCCACAAGCGCAAGGACCTGAATTCAATTCCCGGTAAAAAACAAACAAAAAAAGAAAGTAAAAGTTCTTTCTAGTAAAGCCTTCAGACTCAATCCCTTTTAGTGAATTGGTGTATACTGTATCTTTCTTTAAGGCTTCTTTGACCTTTTTTTGGTATGGGGGATTGAACTCGGGTCTTTCCCCCACCTGCAAGGCATGCAGCAGGCAGTGGAACCACTGAGCTAGATCCCTGGCCCTCTTTGGCCTGTCTTGGTGGTACACACCTATAATCCTAGGAGATTGGAAGGCTGAGGCAGAAGATTATAAGTTCCAGCCCAGTCAGGGTGAATTAGTGACTTAGACTGTGTCTGACCCCCCTCATCACCCCCACGAAACACAGTGCTGAAGATGTGGCTCAGGGCCAAGGCCCTGGGTTCAAGTGTGGGGAAAAAAAGACTTCTTCATAGGAATATTTTTGGTTTTTGGAGATGGATTTTGTTCTGTAGCCCAGTCTGGCCTCAAACTCACCATCTTCCTGCCTCAGCCTCCTACATGCTGGGATTATACGCATGCACCTCCATGCCCTACTTCTTTTTTTTTTTTTTTTGGTACTGGGGACCTTGCACTTTTGAGGCAGGTACCGAAACCACTGAGCTAAATCCCTCACCCCCTACTTCTTATAAGAATCTTTTAAGTCCTGTTTTAGAAACTGCCTGTTTAGTAGTGAATTTTGACTTATTAAATTTTAGTCTATGGACAAACGTCAGATTTTTTAGATCTCAAAAAACCAGTTGCATTGTAGAAGCAAAATTATTAAAATACAATTGTTTTTGCCACCTTCCTTTCTGTGAAGAGAGATTAGTGCTTTGTGAGGTGGTTTACATTTCCTGTAGACACTTAATATGCTTTTAGCAAATTGCTATTTGCTAGATGAGGGTTAGTTTTCTGGTATGAGGGTGTTTAGGAATTCTTGAGTGAAGCTGAAAGGCACAAACTGTGTTGGAGGGGAAGACCAGGTTCAGGGCCTTTCAGAGTGAGAAGGTAACATTGGTAGATGGAGGTAGAAGAAACACAGATATGGGAATGAAGAGTTGCCAGAGCCCAGAGGTGCCTGGAGGGCAAGTCTAAGCCTTGTGGCACTGAGCACATGCCCCTCGCTGTTGGACAGTTCTGCCTTGCACACTGAGACTCTTTTTTCCTCTTCTGTCATGTGAGTATGCTCCTTCAGGAATGAGTTTCCCACAGGGATAAGCAAGATCCAGATACTCCCTGGCACAGACTGCCAACTTAGAACCGTCTACCGGGAGCCACAAGGTGGTTGAACCTCTGAGACTTGGCCACTGAGATCCGGCAGCAGGGATAACAAGGCTCTTGTGTGTCAGTTTCCTGAGGCTGCTGCTGCTTGCAGCAGCTGTAGAGGAGAGAATTTTATAGATGTGACCCAGAGAGTGAACTGAGGCTCTTGGAACTCATCTTTCGTTTTCGTGATTATACAGGCCTCTTTGTCGTGGTTACTTCACAGCCTGTAGAACTGAAGCTGAAATGAAGAACTGATTAATTCAGAATGGGGGCTTGGGGATATATCTCAGCAGTAGAGCACTTGCCCAGCTTGTGTAGGGCCCTGGGTTCAGTCCTCAGCATCTCCAAGAAAATAAAAATAACTCAGTATGGGTGGTCTCAGTATCTCTAAAGTCAGGCTCGGTTAAGTTTTCCCAACAGGTAGCCTAAATTTGGCAAAGGGCAAGGTTAGATATGCTAAAGAGTTAATTTTAAAAATGGGGAAAAGGGCTGGGGATTTAGCTCAGTGGTGCTGCCACCTGCCTCACAAGTGCAATGTCCTGAGTTCGATCCCTGGTATCAAAGAAAAGCGGGGGGGGGGGGGAGTGTCCCTTGAGTGGCTCTTGAGTGTCTTCTTTAGCCCAGCTGCTTGCCTTCCTGACTTGGTCCCTGGCTACTGCATCATGCCCTGATGTCTTAGTTACTTTTTTTGTTGTTGAGACAGAATATCCAACACCTGAAGTTAAAGGAGGAGAGGTTTATTTTGGCTCACAGTTTGTAGAGGTTTCAGTCCATAATCAGCTGGCTCCAAGGCATGGTGGCCTGGCAAGAGGGCATCCCAGAGGAAGCAGGAGGTAGCAGAAGACAAGTAGCAGTACGCAATGGCAGCAGCCCACTTTCTGTCCTTTATATTCCATCCAGGGTACCTGCCCTTAGAATGGGCAGCACTCACACCCGGAATGGGGCACCCTTAATCCCAGCATCACACAGCGTAGATCCAGCTCCCTCTGAAAAGCCTCACTTATGCCCACAGGAGCCTTTGGAAGGACATCTAGACAAGCCACAACACCCGGCCACCAGGATCTCACTGTGTTTTTAAGAGCAACAGCGGCAACTTTTTCTTTTTTTTTTTTTTCAATTAAGTTTATGGTACACTTTAGGTAGACAATACAGTTACATTCATCATTGGGATCTTGTTAACTTTACATGATGTGTCTTGGTTCTTATTTTTTCCCCATTCCCCTGCCTGCCCTTCACCCCCTCCAGCCTTCTCTATTTACAAAGACTTTGTTTTCATTTTTTTCCTTTTCTCATATTTTTTTCCCCTTCTTTCCTTTCCCCTTCCCTTCCCAATTCCCCTACTCCTTTAGACCTTTTCTTTCTATTTCACATTATCAGTTGTACATTTTGATCCTTATTTACACTTTTAGTTTTTCACACCAAAGAAACTATTTGGTATTTACACGTGTGTCCTAATTATTTCACTTAAGAGTATGGCCTCAGTATGCATCCATTTAGTTACAGGTGTCTCTAGTTTGTTGTTCTTTATGGCTGAGTAGTATTCCATTTTATAAAAAAAACCCACATCTTTTTTATCCAGTCTTCAGTTGATGAGCACTTGGGCTGTTTCCAAGTGTTAGGTATTATAAACTGTGCGTGGCAACTTTTTCTTGGCTCTGTTCCCTCTGCACTGCCTGTTTCTGAGGAGAGATTTGTGGGACCCATCTCCTATTATCCTCTGGCATTGTCAGGTTTTAGTTGGTAGACTGTGCCTCTGAGGAAGAGGTAGGGTAGTATCAGGATGAGTATATTAGCTAATTTAGATAGTGCTGCAGTCTGTGAAGAGGTTGTCTCCCTAGAATGGACCTCAGTCTGGGTCCTGCTATTTTGAAAATCCTGAGCCCTTTGTTTTGGATGTGAGGCATGACCCTTTTCGTACCTTCATTTCACTCCCTTACCCACATGGTTCCTGGAAAGTAGTAAGAGTTGATGACACTGATAACTAATTGGCAGTGATCGAGTAGCTCTTTCTTCGTGTGTTTGTGTGGGCTTGGAGCTCTGTCTTCTCTTTATTTGTTCACTGAACTAGGGATCAGACCTTAGGTTCTTGTGCATGCTAGACAAGTGCTCTACCCCTGAGCTACACCCCAGCTCTCTACCTTAAAATAACTGGAATCTGAGTTCTAGGAGACCAGGGACCTTTGTCACTCAGTGCTGTGTCTCTAGTGCCTAGCACAGTGCCTGCCACACATTGGATGCTAAACAAATGTTTGTTGAATGAATAACTTTGTTAGGAAGAAAAATGATCAAGAGTTTACATCTTTCTAGATCATAAATACCAAGGACAATGCAAGAAGCAGCTTAGGCTGGACCCTGGTGTCTAATTTCTTTCTGATTTTCTTGCTATTTTGCCATGAACAGTTAGAACCCTTTCTAGATTTTGTGGTAGATAGGTTCCAATGATGGTGCTTATAGCTGGTGGATAAGAGGGTGGAAAAGGAATGGACCTGACTATTGAGAAGCAAAAGGCTGGGGTTAGGGATGTAGCTCAAGGGGTAGAGTGCTTGCCTAGCAGGTGCAAGGCCTTGAGTTCAGTCCCCAGAACTGGGTAGGAAAAAAAGTACTGACCTACAGGCAAAGGGTATGGCTCATGACAGTAAAAACCATTACAAGGGTTAGGTGGTTCTCAAGAAGGTATTTAACGGACCACCAGCCTAGGAATTCTTTTGCCTAGGAGGGAAGGAAGAATTAGTCTTTCGGTACTTTGACTTATGAATGCTGGCGGGGGTGGTGGTGGTGTGCATATTTATTCTCTATTGAAACCTGGCTTGGATGATGTACAAAGAAGGGTTTATTTTTTCTTTACAGATGAACACAGGCTTCACAGTGGCAAGCTCTGTCTGATTATCCTTACGTGTATTGCAGAGGTAAGTCTCAGCAGCCTTCTGCCATGAGCTATGTCTTTCAAAGTGCTCTTGTTTCCTGCCCCCAGCCCTCCTGCTTCATGACTATGCTTAGGGCCCTAAAGCTTTGGAGGGAGTTTGTCTGTCTCCTCCCCTGCTCTGACAGCAGCGACTCTATCTCCCTCAGCACTGCGATCTCCATGCCTGGCCTGTGGTAGAGGCTCAGCCAGCATTTACTGGGTGCATTCATAATGAGTTGTGCTAGGGTAACTACCATAGTCGAGAACTAGAGGGTTCTGACTCTTCAGAGTTTTAAACAAGAGACTTGAACTCTTTACAAAAAAATCCTGCCCCTTTGAAGCTGTTCTTGTTGGGTCTTTCTCACTTAGCAAAATGGAAAAGGAGCTCAGGTTTCTTGGAGTGAAGTGGGGAGACAACATTTGGAGAAGTCTTTCTGAGAAAGCATTTGGGGCTGGATCATTTGGGCGGAACTGACTTCAGGTCTTGGTGGCACACCAGTACTGCAGAACTTGAGACAGTTCAGAGCTATGTTTATATTTCTAAATCCCCTTTTAGTTTCCCTTACTCTGCCCTTTCCTCTTTGAAGAAAAGAAGTCAAGGTGGCCCAGCTGGAGAGCCATCACTCCTGCTTGCCTGTGTGCTCTCTGTGGGAGGGTGACCTCCTCCTCACCAAGCCAGGGGCCATTACAGAAGAGCTGCTATGAGCAGTGGGCCTGGTGTACTTGCTTTTTAAAAATCTCTCTAATAAAATCTTTTTTTTTTTGTACCGGGGATCAAACTCGGGACCTCGCGCTTGTAAGGCAGGCGGCAGCGCCACTGTCTCTAATGAAATCTTTTTTTTTTTTGGTACCGGGGATCGAACTCAGGTCCTTGTGCTTGTGCAGCAGGTGGTGAACCCACTGAGCTAAATCCCCGGCCCTCTAATGAAATCTTTAAAGAAGTTGTGTTTCACAGATTGTAATGGGTTCCTATTCCTGGGAGTCTAGGCGTGTCACATCTTTAGAACAGGTGTTGGGAAAGGGCCTTCGGATGCCGGTTACCAACACTTCATGAGAAGTTTTTGCTTTGACATCAGTCTTCAGCAGAGGCAGGGGTAGCAGGTCTTGCTGTGTTCAAGCTGCCTGTGTAGCTGCTCTCCCCTGCTGTGCCGAGCTCGGTTCCAGCAGAGCACAGCCCTTTCCTCTTCTAACAGGAGTCTCATGTGGAGCCTGCACGTGCATCCTGCACCACCCTGAAAACCTTCAAGCTGTCACACACAGAGCTGCTTCTCTGGGCAGATGGGAAGGAAGAGGGAATCGGAAAACAGATTCCTCTCAGCATTTGTCTCAAGTTCCTGGATCTTAATTTTTATTGTTTTTTAATTTTCTTAGAGATTTTTGAATATAGATACATGGGGAAATTATCCCCAAGTAAAAAATCTTATGGCTTAATAGGGTTTGACATAGAGGGTGAGACTTATCCCATTAGCCTTCCAACTGATCCTTGAAAGTGGTTGGGTTTTTTTTGGTACTGGGGATTGAACTCGGGACCTTGTGCTTTCGAGGCAGGCAGTGGAACCATTGAGCTAAATCCCTGGCTCGAAAGTGGTTCTTAAAGTCCAAGGATTGTAGGAAGTGTGCTGGAGTACAAACAGTTTCTTAAGTTTTTAAGTCTCACTCCTTTCTTTTTCTCTAAATTTTTATTAGGATCAGTATGCCAATGCATTTTTGCATGATGACAACATGAATTTTCGAGTAAACTTACATAGAATGGTAGGTGTGACGTTTGCTTCTTTCTTAGTGGGAAATGTTTTGTGTGTTGACAGGGTTGGGATGAAGTTGGTCCTACTAGAACAAATGTGGATAGAAAGTTGCGCCAAAGAGTTCTTGTATGACCCTTGGCAGATATTTTTTTTTATGTATTGTGGAGTTGTTTCTTGCTCAAGGGAGGATAGAAAAAGATCCACAGCTATATAGCCATTGCAATCACAGAATATATAAAAAACAGATTTCAACAAAGAAGTGGGTCTAAGCCTTATGTTTCAAAACATAGCATGATCTTTACTTGGAAAAGACTAGGTGCTGCTTTGATATATTTGCCTGAAAGGTGGAGCATATAGAATATGGAAGATGAGGGAATATCTTAGAACTTGGAAGTATGTGGAAAAAATGCCACATTGAGGTTTAGGTTTCAAACTTACTATTTGTTTTTGCAGCTGTTATTACTGTTGCCTCTATAGTTGTCACCATTACCTCCTCTTTCCTTTTCTTCCTCTTCTTCTTTTCTCTCTCTCTCTCTCTCTCTCTCTCTCTCTCTCTCTGGTACTGGGGATTGAACCCAAAGGCTCTCTGTCACTGAGCTACATATCCAACCCTATTTATTTATTTATTTTTGACATAGGATCTTGCTATGTTGCCCAGGCTGAGTTTAAGCTTGTCATCCAGAGTGCGGGGCTTATAGTGTGTGCCACTGGGCCCAGCTTCCTCTTCTTTTTCTTAATTTCATTATTTAAAAAAACAGAAAACATGCTGGGCATGGTAGCACATGCCTGTAATCCCAGCTCTTGGGAGGCCGAGACCAGCTTGGGCAACCCCCCAATCAGTGCACCTCTGTTGATGTGAACAGTGCCACATGCACAGCATAGATAAAAGCGAAGACAGCAGTTTTCCTGTTGTAGTGTGTGCTCCGGGGCCCTGTGGGCAGTCGCCTTGCTGTGAGTTGTGTCTGTCACAGGCCTACAGTACACCGATAACTGAGAAGGCTTTGTAAGTCTTCCTCGTCCCACCCCACCTCAGCCAGTAGGAAAGAGGAAGGAAAGGTAGCAGCTTGTCTGTGGCAAGGGCATTGAGCCACTGTTCTCAATTCAGGTGTTTGCTGATTTCCTTTTGCTTTTTGTGGTTCAGCCCATGAGACACAGGAAGAAGGCAGCAGACAAGAAGCTTCCCTGCCGCCCTCTGGTGTGTGCAGTGCTGGGTGAGCGAATGCCATAAAATCGCCATTTTCCTGAGGCAGTAACAGGTTTTCAGGGTTAAGATTCTCTTGATGTGCTTCTTTCTCAGGGAAGTTACTGGTTATGTTTCTTCACCTGCCTAAGAAGAGAAGCTTTTGTGTTTTTTTTTTTTTTTTTGGTTACCAGAGATCGAACTCCGGACCTTGTGCTTGCGAGGCAGGTGCCAGAACCACTGAGCTAAATCCTGGCCCTAAGAAAACAAGTTTATTGTTGTGTTTGGTAAAGCAACCCCAATGAATAGAATGTCCAGTAAAGGGTGCTGCCATTCAAAGGAAAAAACCCTTCTAGGGAGACAAGTCATTATATCCAAACTGGATATATAATTTAAATTTGCAAAATATTTTACTCCCTATCAAGATTTCAGTCTAACCTCCTTTCTTGTTCGTAATTGATGAGTCAAGTGGCTGACGTTCAGCATGCAGATGCACACAGCTTCCTGTGTGTGGAAAGCAGGGATGGAGCTGGCAGAGTGGATAGGCAGGGGCTGCGCTTTGGGTTATCTTGTCTGTCCAGAACTCTGCATTCTCTCTAGGGGACTGGCAGATCTCTTAATCCCCGGAATATCCACCTGGATATTCATCCCCAGTTCCTAAATCTACATGATTTAAAAACAGTAGTTAAGACTGTCTGTCAGACACTTTGATCGTGAGATGAGAGACTGACATAGCTTTAGAGCTGAGTCTCTGGTTACAAGAATGTGACCAATAATTTCTTCTCTTGCTCCCTCACTGCTCTGGTCTTGGACTAAGATTTTGCTATGGTAAATAGGAATGATGAGTGCCATGTATGAAGTATCTGCACAAGCATCCCTGCTACAGGAATTTATTGGCAGGTCAGGGTGTCCTTTTGGAAGTAGTAGATTGAACAGATTTTCTTGCTCATTTTCAAGTGTCAGAGAGTGAAGAGTGCTGCAGAAAGTTTCTTACGAAATAAATGACAGTCTGTGTGGGTACCACTGTGGGTGGTGGGTACCATTTAACATGAGGGGTTTCCCAACGCTAAGACAAGGTATGAATTTCATTCTAATTGATCTAGTTTTTCTCTTTTCCCCTCTTAGACCTGATGGTAGAGTTTATTGTAACACACATGATGAAGGAGTTTCCTATGGATCTCTACATGTAAGTACCATGGTTCATTTCATATGTGCAAATCCATTTTAAAGAATCAAGTGGTAGCTGGGTGGTGCACACCTGTAATCTCTGTGCCCAGGAGGCTAAGGCAGGAGCATTGCCACGAGTTTGAGGCCAGCCTGAACTGCATAGTGAGACCCTGTATCAAAAAAAAAAAGAATCAAGTGATAGAAAAATTATAGTCTGTGTATATGTTATTTCAAGAAAAACTCATTTGTTTGTGAAGTGTCACAAAATATTTTGTACATCTTTTTAGAGGAGGGAAAAGTACAAACCATGGTTTGGATTCCTGCATGTATCTTTGTCACTTCCAGACACTTTGTGTGAAGATCTAGGCTGATGCCTTGAAGCAGGGATCATAGGGGTCTGTGGGAATCCAAAGATAGGCAATATCAGCTTTGTTGTCTCTGTGCTTTTGTGTCAAAATAGTTAGTTGTAATTAGAAGGTAGGAAGAAGCCAGGTATCATGTACACACCTGTAATCTCTTTTCTCTGGGAGGCTGAGGGAAGAGAATCACAAATTCAAGCCCAGTCTGGGCAACTTAGTGAGGCCTTTTTTTTGTACTGGGGATTGAACTCGGGACCTTGCGCTTGCGAGGCAGGCGCCGGAACCACTGAGCTAGATCCCTGGCGTGATGCCCTTTTTATAAATAAAAAAGGCTAGGGATGTAGCTCAGTGCAAAGGCCCTGGGTTCAATCCTTGTCCCCCCCCCCCCAAAAAAAAGGTAGGAAGTGATCAAGGGAGAGCTTCCGGTCCATCCTTGGCTGACATTGTCCTGGCAGCCTAGCCAGAGCCCTGCTAGATGGGAGATGATGTCATCAAGAGACCCCTGCCTCCTGTGGAGATCTTCGTCCATCATCCTTTGTAATGAGGGTAATCAGAGGCCACTGAGACTCATTGTATTTTATAGAATTTAAGCCTGTAGGTTTTTTCTTTCCTTTGTTACTTGTGCATTCTTCTCTTTAATGACCCAGAAGAGCTGTGCCGTATTAGTATGATTCCATGTGCGCATACAGGCTCTGCCAGAGAAAGTGCATGTACACTTGAGCAGTTGCCGCACCAGTATGTGTCTGGAAGTGAACAGCTACACTCTGAGCACCTCTTGTCATTGTAGAGGCCATGATGTCTCAATAAACTTGGTATTAAATTTTTTTTTTTTGTACTGGGGATCGAATTCGGGTCCTTGCGCTTGCGCAGCAGGCGGCAAAACCACTGAGCTAAATCCCCGGCCCTGGTATTAAAATATTTAGACAAATTTTCTTTTCCTGATGTATACATTTTTGGGTGGATTCTGTATTTTTCTTCCTTCAGAAGCATCTCACTTGGGTCTGACTACAGAATTGTCACCACCATTATTTTGGGTAAGGGACAATTTGCTGCACAGTAAGCTTAGTGTACCCTATTCCAGTGCCAATCCAGGGTCTGGGGGACAAGGGATTTCACTCCGGAGCAGACCTCCAGCTTTTTAGATGACTCCTAGACTATGTAGTCTTGGTTCATAGGTCTGGAGTAAATTTTACCTTTATTTAAGTGAGTTATAGTTTACATTTTTGTCTTTTGGGTGTTTAGGAGTAAGTCTGATCCTTAATTCAAAGACCAATGGTGCTGCTTTTTTTTTTTTTCAGTACCAGGGATCGAACTCAGGACCTTGCGCTTGCCAGGCAGGGGTGGTGCCATTGAGCTAAATCCCCGGCCCTCAGTCGTGCTGCTTTTTATAATACTTAGCAGATGGATTTTCTACTTATTTTCGATGGAGTCCCTGAACCTCAGTATCTTAGGGAGCAGATTTGTTTTTGCTGTAGACTTTATTTCTAGCTTGATTATTTTATGTTCTACTCTTAGAATATGCTGTTTATTTTGTAGTATTGACCATGATAGTTCCAGTTTTCTCACTGTATCAGTAAGGAGACAGGCTCAGTAGATTATGCCCTTTTTCCAGGGTTGTTCTGTTACTCAGTATCACTGCCTGGGCTTGAACACAGAATTTCTCACTGTAAGTCCTGGGCTGTTATATTTCCCTTCTAAGTGTGTTAGTTGTCTGTTGCTGTGTAACAAACCCTAAAACCTAGTGGTTTAAAACAAGTGCTCCTTATCATAGTTTTTGTGGTTTAGGAATCCAGGAGAAGCTCAAGATGAGTAGTTTTGCCACTGGGCCTCTGGTAGAGCTACAGTCAAATGTCAGCTGGGGCTGCTGGCATCTGGTAGGCTTCTGGGGCTGGAGAACTGCTTTCAAGCTTACTTACTGCTTATTGGCAGGCATTGGTTCTTTCCACCTGAACTTCTCCTTAGGGTGGCTTAAAACGGCATCTGGCTTCCTCCACAGTAATCTGGGAGAGACAGAAAAGGAGAGCAAGAGCCCAAGTTAGAAGCCTTAATATCTTTTATCACCTAGTCCCAAGTGACACACTGCTTCTTGTGGTGGCATTGACCACTCTGATGAAACTGCAAGGAGCTGGACACTGACGGAAGGTGTTTAGGTAATGAAGGTATAACCCTCAGGAGTGGCTTAATGTTGGTTATAGAAGGACTTGAGGCTGTGAACCCAGTTAGTGCTGCCCATTCCCCCTCTGCTCTCTGTCCCTGCCTCCCTCGTCCTTGTGCACGTCTGTGTACATCTGTGTGTGTGCGTGCCCTTGCCTCCCACCTCCCACTATGAGTGGTGCATAGAAGGGCCCCACTAGATGCTGCCACCTTGGTATCAGACGTCAGGTCTCCAGAAGTCGTAAGCTGCCCAGTCTGTGGTATTCTGTGTGGCAACACAAACAGGCTGAATGAAGAATTTGAATACCAGCAGTTTGGGGTCTTTGGTGGTCATCTTGCAATGGAGCAGTGCTGGAGTGGGCATGGCCAGGCTTTGGGGGAAGCAGGGAAGGGTGGCAGCAGGGGAGCCAGGGGTAAGGGAGCACCTTGTTGCTGCTCCAGTGCTGTGGGGAGGATGTCAGTAGGAGGCAAGGTGCAGGTTCTCCAGACCCAGGCCATGTGAGAGGAGCTCACGGCAGGGGTGCTCTGAGTGGGAGGCTGTGTATGGGCAGCATTCAGCCCCTCTTGTGACTGCAGTAGAGTGGTTAGCACCAGGAACAGCTGTCAGTTTCATGGAGAAGTTGACAGAAAGTTTGTAGATTGCTAAGGCAAATCATGACTCAGACAAGAGCATCTCTTAGTGACAGCGATGTCAAGCAGGAGATGATGCCAAAATTTCTCAAAATCAACGAATGATTTATTTGAAAACTGTGTGAATGTTTTCTTGGAATTTTTACCACTTGGTAAGCAGTTTTGGTGGTACATGTTAGTTGAGAGAATAAAAGAATTATTTAAAAATTTTTGATGTATTGATTTATACGTTGCTTTATATTTCTGTATGGTTGTAAAATATTTTAATATCATGGTGAAAAATATTGAAGTCTTTTAAGTGACCTGTTACTAGTGATCTCATTAAATCCTGAGACGCCCCTGCAAGACCACTTGGAACAGTGGTGGCAAACCTGTGGCATGTGTACCACAGTGGGCTGTTTGTTATCATTGAAAGCTCAGAAAGGTTTGCCATCGCTGCTCTAGGGACTAAGAAGAACACAGAGAGACATGGATAATGGGGCATGCAGAAAAGGTATTAAGTGGCCGTACAGGCCTCTTAATTGAGAGTATTCTGAAAACTTCCAGAGAAGAATAATTTCAGGATTTTCCAACTTACATATTTAGTTTATTTGTGTTTTCGGTATGTTTTTAGGTACTGTACTCCCTCTGGCTGGTGTCTTTGACTCTGACTTCTCAAAGCGAGTTAGTAATGTTTTCTTCTGTTTTCTTTCCCCCTTTCCTAAGAGGTACAAGAAAATAGCTCTCCCTGATTTAGCTTGACTTATGAACTGTCAGATTGACATCCACAGGTGAACATGGTGTCTGTGGAGTAAGTGGAGCATCAGGATGCCTTTGTCTCAGATTAAACCACAGAACTCGAAAATCTCAACCCTGCCTCCGGGGTGTCTTGTGTTTGAAGCAGCCATTCGGCTGAATTGCACTTGGGCATATTAGAAGCTACACATATCGAACAAGGTGGAGAAGAGCCACTTTTTGCTGTGTCCTTTTGCCTTGGTTATTTGGTCTGTTCTATTTTTGCCTTCGCTGCCTTTCATGTCAGAAAAGCTTCAAAAGAAGGAGTCTTTTTCATTTGTCTGACACTGGGAGTTTGCCTGGGTCATTTTACAACTCAGTTGCACTAAGATTTAAGTGCTAGCTCAGTCAGTGTTAAGTGGATGAATAAAGAAGCTAGGTCTAGCCAAGTGTAGTGGGGCACGTCTGTAATCCCAGCACTCTAATTCCAACCCAGCCTGGATAATTTAGCGAGACCCTGTTTCAAAATAAAAAATAAAATAAATAGGGTGGCGATGTAGCTCAGTATGAAGGCTTTAGGCTCAGTTTCCAGTACTAAAAAAAAAAAATCAAAGAAAAGATGTTTAGAGCTGGGCATGGTGGTGCATGCTTGTGATCCCAGCACTTGGGAGGCTGAGGCAGGAGGATCACCACGAGTTCCAGGCCAGCCTGGGCTCATAGTGAGACTCTGTCTCAAAAAAAAAAAAAAAAATTTTTTTTATTTTTAGGAAGTAAATTTTATCAGTCTTTTCCTTTGCAATTTCATCTGTGGGTACTTAAGCTTTCTTTTTTTTTTTTGGTACTGGGGATCAAATTTGGGATCTCGTGCTTTCAAGGCAGGCGCTGTTCCGCTGAGCTAAATCCCTAGCCCACTTAAGCTTACTTTTAAAAATTATTTTATTTTGTTTTTATTTTAAACTTTTTTTTTTTTTTTGGTACTGGGAATCGAACTTGGGTCCTTCCCCTTGTGGGGCAGGTGGCGGAACCACTGAGCTAAATCCCCGGCCTTATTTTAAACTTTTGATTGTATATTGATGCAGTATAATTGTATATAGCAATGGGTACAAAGTGTTATAATCTTTGAATATGATGTTAAACTTTCAGAATCCTCAGAGATGAAAAAACATTATTTTTGCTAGCTTTATTTTTTTATTTTTTATTTATTTTTTGGTACCGGGGATCAAACTCAGGTCCTTGGCACTTGTGAGGCAGGCAGAGGAACCACTGAGCTAAATCCCCGGCCCTGCTAGCTTTATAATTTTTAAAAATTTTGTTTGTCTTAACCTCAACTCACTAACCCCTGATTTGGAAATATTCTCAAAAACAAAAGTGTTGCTGGGTGGGACTGGGGCTTGTTGGTAGAAAACTCGCCTGGCATGTGGAAGGCCTGTTGTTTAGTTCTCATTGCACAAGCAGAGGGTAATCACGTGCACATCACCGGGGTGTGACTCAGGGTTCAGTGGCCTACAGCAGCACTGTCTCATACAGCTTTCTGTGGTGCTGGAGAGCATGGTAGAGGATCCCAGCCTGGGCCACTCAGTGAGACCCTGACTCTAAATAAAAAAACGAGGTTAGGATGTAGTTCTGTGTTAAGAGTATTTGCCTCACATGTACCAGGCCTTGGGTTCAACCCTCAGTACTTCAAGACAAATCCAAAGAAAAGTTCAATGCATGTGTGCTGTTTGGTGTGGTTGCCATTAGCAACAGCTGGCTGTTGAGTATTTGTTACATGGTTAGTACAACTGAGGAATTGAATTTTTAATTTAACTTTTTTGGTGTATGGCACTTGAAGTTGAACCCAGAGCCTTCTCACTGAGCTCTACCCCGCTCCTTTAAAATTTTCTTTAAATTCTGAGACAGAGTCTTACGGAGTCACCAAGATGCTGAAGCTGGGTTTAAACCTGTGATCCTTCTGCTTCAGCCCCCCAGAATTCTGGGAATATAGGTGTGGATCACCATACCCAATTTAATTTAACTGTTATTGTAAATACAATTCAAGTTAATTAAAATACAATTAAATTTTACTTAAAATTTAAGCTGGGTGTGGTGGCAATGCCTGTAATCCCAGCACTCAGGAGGCTGAGGCAGGAGGATTGCTGCAAGTTCCAGGCCACAAAGTGAGTTCAAGGACAGCCTGAATTACAGAGCAAGGCCCTATCTCAAAAACAAACAAAACAAACCAAAATTTAAAATGTAATTACATTAATTAAATGTAGACCTTAGAGATCAAAGGTCTTTGATGCTTTTCTAAGCTATGCCTATCACTTAGTCATACATCCTTCCTCCCAGGAATGGTCCTTAAGGGAAGGGTATCAGGTATGCTTAACTGAGTATTAACACCTAAGTGGTAGCAGCCCCTTTTTCCCATTGACAAAGTGTGTGTGTGTGTGTGTGAGAGAGAGAGAGAGAGAGAGAGAGAGAGAGAGAGAGAGAAATATTGTATGTGAGAGTGACAGATTTATTCACAAGAAGAGCTGAAGGTGTTCCTTTCTTTTGCATGTTTGTTTGTTTATTAGTTTTCTGAGACAGGGTCTTGTATGCATTCCAGGCTAGCCTTTAACTCACTGTGTAACCCAGTGCCGAGATTATAGGCGTGATCGTGCCTGGCTTTGTATGTGTACATAATTTATATCCAGTCTTTAGTCACCCTAGCAAAGAAACCTGCCTCACTAAAGAAAAGGGTATCTGAGCTGAGTGTGGTGGCATGCACTTGTACTTCCAGCATTCTGGGAGGCCGAGACAGGAGGTTTGCAAGTTTAAGTCCAGCCTTAGCAGCTTAGTGAGACCCTGTCTCAAAATAAGAAATAAAAAAAGAGCTGAGAAGGTAGGTCAGTGTGTAGGTCCTACATTCAATCCCCAGTACTACAAATAAATGAATAGTAGCTGTAGTGAATTGCACTGCATTCTTGGTCTTACCCCATTTTTCTTTCTTTGTAACAGACGCTGCATTCAGGTGGTGCATAAACTGCTTTGCTACCAGAAGAAGTGTCGAGTTCGGCTGCAGTACACCTGGCGGGAGCTCTGGTCAGGTAACTTTTCCTCTTGGATTAATCTTCTTTTCCTGTGACTTTTATGAGCACCTAGGCCTGGCCTCAAGGCGACTTTCCCCTCCAAACCTTGGAGTTTGTATAGGATGGATCTCTTTCCTTTTTTCTCTTCCCTTCTCTCCTTTTTTTCTTCTGTTCTCTCCTTCTTCCTTCCTTCTCTGTCTCTCTCTCTCTCTCTCTCTCTCTCGTATTTTAGTCTTTTTTTGGCCAGATCTAGAGATATTCACACTTGTGATACTCATTCATTTATTTGCAGTATTGGTTTTGGTTTTTTTTTGGTACTGGGGATTGAACTTGGGTCTTTGTGCTTGCGCAGCAGGTGGCGAAACCACTGAGCTAAATCCCCAGCCCTGTTTGCGGTATTGGGGATTGGATGTAGGACCTTCATCTGTCGCATATCCTCTCCACATTTTCTCTCCTGTTCCTTCTTTTCTCTTCTTTGTGTATGTGGGGTGGGGGTGGGGGTAGTAGAAACTGTTGAATATTTCTTGAGTCTCAGTGATCCTTTCTTTGTGTAAGACTAAACTAGGGGGAGTCAGTATAGACTTGGATCTTGCTCTGCTCCATTTGGTAGCGCCATATGGACTGCAGGGAAGCTCATGTGTTTCCTCCAGATGAGGAACTGGAGAGGGATGTCATAGGTTGAGGGGGTGGACTGGGGTGGAGAGACGGAGGATCCTGTTCTTTGTGTTACATCTGGCGTTATTACTGTTTACAGACAGTGCTGATTGTTCCACTCCCCCTGCACATGAGACAGAACAGCAAATTATAGTGCTTACTTCTGTCTTTGTACCCATTGCGTAGCCCAGTGAAATCACAGCCGCCTCTTCAGCCACCCCTGCAGGCGGGAAGCAGGTCTTCTCTGAGGCACACTTAGCGCTGGCTTGCCATCCCTCTCTTAAATGCAACTCAATGGGTGGCTTTGGGAAAGCGGAGGAGACATGTTCTTGGAGGCGGCTGCTGGCTGATGGGCCCTGTGGCTTTGTGACCTGATAGAACAGTAGACTCCTGCTGGCTGCACCATGAGTGGTTGCTCTGCCCCGGCTTAGCAGGGGAGGATGTGTTAGTGTCAGAGGCTTTGCAAGACTGGCCAGTAACCCAGCCCTTCCATGGAATTCATCTCACTTGTGACACATGGTTTCCTCGACCCAATTTGGCTTTCTAAATTTAGTCTTCCACAATGAGAAGTAGTGATCTTTAATTAATGGATTAGAACGTTTTTGCAGTTACTGCATGGTGGTGAGGGGGGAATACGAGAATCACGCTAATTGGCAATAGAGGCACTTTGGTATTTTAGGAGAGAAGATTATGATCATGTGAGAGTTTGATATTGAGGGAATGTCAGAAGAGCTGAAGAGAGATCACAAGAAATTGAAATGACTAAAGTTAGTAGAATTTTTTTCTCTCTCTTTTTTTTGTTTTTGTTTTGCAGTACCAGGGATTGAACTCAGGACCTTGCGCTTGCAAGGCAGGCGTGGTGCCACTGAGCTAGATCCCCGGGCCAAGTTAGTAGGATTTTTAAGGTAGCAACAGTTCTTTTTGATATAAAGGGCTCCCTTTGTTGCCTATAGATAGTAATATGTTTTTGGTTTTTTTTAATTTTTTGGTACCAGGGATTGAACTCGGGTCCTTGTGCTTGTGCAGCAGTTGGCGAAACCACTGAGCTAAATCCCTGGCCCTAGATAGTAATATGACTGTTGGGCTCCAAAAGTCTAGGATTAAAGTGAAAACGCAAGATAATGCCCATCTGTGTATTTGGTATAGCTGTAGAATTTAGAACAAATGCAAAGTGGTGTTTATGTCTATGACTGGGTGGATTTACACATTGTAGTATTCAGCAGTTGGTAGTAGTTGCTTCTGCCTCCTACTTCTGGTTCCCTTCTGGTTTTATTTTCTCTTTTGTTCTGTTTTCTTTCTTTTTTTGTTCTGACTGTCCTAACTCTGGCCTTATGATCTCTCTGGCTTTTCTCTCATCCTCATCTGTTGTCTACTTCCTCAGTGTCCTATCCTATCTGTATTTTGACATTTCCCCTTCTGGTTCCCTGTCTGTCTCCAGAGATCCCGGACACTTCCCGTTGTTCTCCTACCTCGTCGTGTATTCCTTGTTATCTACATGAATTGGCCCTCTTATCATTGTGAACTGTCTGTCCTGTCCTTTGTGTTGTTGTTTCCATACATTTTATTTTCACACACATCATAAACCCCAGAATGCATTGCTATCTTTTTCTTTTGGCATTGCTCAGGATCAAACCCAGGGTCTTGCATATGGTAGGCATGTGCTCTACCCTACACATGAGCTACATCCCTAGCCCGACTGTTACCATATTTGCTAAAACAAATAACTATGATTTAGATTTAATTTTGTGTGTGTGTAATACTAGATGTTGATCCCCAGGCCTTTACACTGAACTATTTCCCCAGCCTTTAAAAACTTTAATTTTTAATTTTTATTTTTTAGACAGGGTCTTGCTAAATCACCACCTTCCCCAGGCTGAGTTTCACCTTGAGAGATCTGCCTGTCTCTGCCTCCAACATTGCTGGGATTACAGGCATGTACCTGGCTAAAAATGTGTTTTTTCCCCAACTTAGTGTTTTGCCATTCTGGCTAGTAGCTTATGAAGAAGAGCATTCTTTATTCTGTGTTGGCCAGTCGTCTTTGTCTTGAGAGCTTTGTCATGTTCAGCTCTGTAATCATGTGCTGCTCCAGACTGACTGGTTAGCATCCAAGGACCCTGACAGGTTGAGGGCAGAGGGAGGAGTGTCATCCCTGAGGCCCGGGCGACTGCTTGTTTCTCAGGCCTAGGTACTTATGGTAGAGTTCTCTGCCAAGTGAGGTGAGCTCCTTTGCCCATACAGACTTCGTGAGGCCTTCTGGATCCCTGGCTCCATGTGTTTGTACACAACGTGTACAGTGAGATGAAGAGCATCAGGTGTTCAGGAAACTGCAAAATGCAACACTGCAGCCAGGGTGCCAGGGCCCATGAGAATGTATACTGCCACGTTCAGTGAACACAAGTTTGGCTGTGGTGAGCCACCTGTCCCTTGGCTGCTGCTGACCCTCACATGTTGGAATGCCCATGTTTTCAGTCTTTCTTTTCCTTGTAGAGTTACGGATTTGAGGGAGGTATGCGAAACTTATTATGGCAAATATGCTTATTTGGATATATGCTGGCCCATTCATGTGCTGTAAACCCTAATTGACGTTTATTTATAAATTAGACATGTAGGGTTAGACTGGACACCTGGAATTCTTGGGAATAAAAAGCAGGTGGCTAGGGTCTGAATGCCTTTATCACTGGGCGTGATGGGTTTGGTAGCACCTTACTGTGAGTGCTGATTTTTAACATTGTGGTATTTGACTACGGTTACTCTTTGTTATGGGGCTGCTAGCCATCAGTTCTGGCAGTGGTGAATCCCTGGTAGTGGTCTGTGGAAGAGGAGGAAGCAGCTGTACAATTTGGGGGTTCACTTCTCCCTTGGATGTTTTTCCTACCCCCATTGCCACCTGTCTACATGAGACCTGTCAGCATGGTATCTGAGTATGTGTGGAAATATATTGAGGCTAATTTCAGTTAGAATATGGAAAGGAAGAGGTCCACTTGTCTGTATTATCCCCCCCTCCTTTTTTTTTGGTACTGGGGATTGAACTCAGGACCTTGTGCTTGTGAGGCAGCCATGGTGCCACTGAGCTAAATCCCCAGCCCCCCTTATTTTTTTTTTTTTTTGGTACCAGGGATGGAACTCCGGTCCTTGCGCTTGCGCAGCAGGTGGCGAAACCACTGAGCTAAATCCCCGGCCCCAAAAGAGACCATTCTTTTTTTTTTGGCACCGGGGATCGAATTCAGGACCTTGCGCTTGTGAGGCAGCTGTCAGAGCCACTGAGCTAAATCCCTGACCCCCATATTTTTGTTTTTGAGACAGGGTCTCACTATGTAGCTTATGTTGCCTTTGAACTCACTTTGTAGTCCAGGCTGGCCTTGAACTTGCAATGGTCCTCCTGCTTCAGGCTCCTGAGTGGTGGGATACAGGCATGTGCCACCACCCCTCTTTATATTATTCTTCTTTCAGCAATCCTTTTGTGCCGTGTGTGTGTGTGTGTGTGTGTGTGTGTGTGTGTGTGTGTGTGTGTGTGGTGTGGTGTTGGTTAATGAACTCGGGGCCTTGCAAAAGCTGGGCAAATATTCTATCACTGAGTCACTCTTCCCGTTTTTTTATCTAGTTTTTTTGAGACTCAATCTTGATATGTATTTCACGTTAGCCTTGAACTTAGTAGGTAGCCCATCCTGGCCTCAAACTTGCAGAGATTTTCTTGCCTCAGCTTCTTAAGTGGTGCCACCATGCTTGGCCCCAGCCCTTTTAAAAATTTTTTATTTTGGGCCGAGGATTTAGCTCAGTGGTGCCGCACCTGCCTCAAAAGCCCAAGGTCCTGGGTTTGATCCTTGCTACCAAAAAAAAAAAAAGAATTTGAAACAGGCTTTTGCTCTGGTGCCCAGGCTTGCCTCGAATTTGTGATCCTCCTGCCTCAGCCTCCCAAGCAGGTGGGATTACAGGCATGCGCCACCATGGCTGGCAGGGATTCAGAAAATATTTGAATGAAAAAAAAAAGAAAAAAAACCCCAAAATATTTGAATGAATAAATAAATGGAAGAATGAGTTTGTAGAATTTTCCTTTTTTTTTTTTTTTTTTGGTACCAGGGATCAAACTCAGGACCTTGTGCTTTTGAGGCAGGCGCCGGAACCACTGAACTAAATCCCTGGATGTAGAATTTTCATTAGTAATGAATTAGCATTTGCCTAAAGCAGTACAGTGTTGTGTTTGGGTCTTAATAATAATAATAATAGCAGTAATAATAATAATACCTAATAAGATGGTTGTTAGTTTCTGATGACATAACTTCCCTTTGATAGGGCCAGCTGTTCAAGTTAGCTTTATTTGAATTGTTGATCTGAAAGGAAGTCAAAGGCAATTTCTCTTTCCTTTA